TCATATTGATAAGGAAAAAAATAAATGCATGTATATCTTTATCATAGAATGTGAAAAAAAAAACAAATATTTACAATATATAAAAATGTTTGATATTAAATCTTCAGAAAACAATGGAACTACTTTAGAACCCATTTGTAAATGAACAATAGAATTTCATATTTTGATTGGAAAAAATGCATATATATCTTTCTCATAGAATGTGAAAAAAAAAAACAAATATTTACAATATATAAAAATCTTTGATATAAAATTTTCAGAAAACAATGAAACTACTTTAAAACCCATTTGTAAATGACCAATTGAATTTCATATTGAAAGGGGAAAAAAATAGATGGGTATCTAGCTTCACTCATAGCAAGATATAAATCAAAGGAAAAATCAATTTGTGGAAAATCGCTGAATATTTCATAGTAACGTGGTAAATTATATTTCCCAGAGTTTCTGACACAGAGTATTGGAAGATGAAGAGTATAATAAAAGGGAAGGGGTGGGCTCTCTCCAATTTTAAAGCACTAAGTTATCGACGCCAAACTGGAGTAGCATTGACAGCTTGACGTTTGGGTATATCGAGATTTTTACGGCCCACCACTGGGTTATTGCAGATGGAAATACACATTAAGTGGCTTCTATTTCGTGCTTCGCCAACCCCAATTTGAGATTTAGATTCTTCTTTGAGAATTTTTTACTATTATCTATTGTAACGTATCCTATTTAGAAATAAGATGTAGTAATAATACTTTGTGTTTCATTATTTAATTTAATTACAAGTTTAATCCTAACCTTATGCCCACCATTGGGTAATTGCAGATGGAAATACACATTAAGTGGCATCTATTTCGAGCTTCGCCAACCCCAATTTGAGATTTATATTCTTCTTTGAGAATTTTTGACTATTATCTATTGTAAGGTTTCCTATTTAGAAATAAGAGAGATAGTCACAATACTTTGTGTTTTAATATTTAATTTAATTACAAGTTTAATCCTAACCTTGGGCCCACCACTGGGTTATTGCAGATGGAAATACACATTAAGTGGCTTCTATTTCGTGCTTCGCCAACCCCAATTTGAAATATTTATTCATTTTTGAGAATTTTAGACTCTTATCTATTGTAACGTATCCTATTTAGAAAGAAGGAATAGTAATAATACTTTGTGTTTCAATATTTAATTCAATTACAAGTTTATAATCCTAACCTTGGGCCCACCACTGGGTTATTGCAGATGGAAATACACATTAAGTGGTTTCTATTTCGTGCTTCGCCAACCCCAATTTGAGATTTAGATTCTTCTTTGAGAATTTTTGACTATTATCTATTGTAACGTTTCCTATTTAGAAATAAGGGATAGTCATAATACTTTGTGTTTCAATATTTAATTCAATTACAATAAGGTGAATTAAAATATATGTTTATGTTTGTTCCACTAGATGGTGCTCTGTCACTTAGAAATACTCATGTGAGTGCGATCGGGATAATCCTTTTTTTTTTAAATAACCTTGGCCATAAATTATTAAGGTAACACCCTCGATTCCCGACAGTCATGAACCGGGATTGAGTCCCGCGTTGAAATTTTTTTTAATATGTGAACTTCACATATTATTCACTGTTTCAATTATCATGAACTAGGTTGCTCTTGTTGAGCGGTAGCTATTAATGTGATTTTGAACCGATAAATTATTGTTATTTTATTATATATCAATGATTATTCCTAGCCAAGATATCGCCTTTTGTGTGTTGAAATAAATAAATTACGTATGGTAAAAATATATAAATGTACAGTTAAACCTGTCTATAGCGCCCTTTCTTAATAGCGTCCGATTTTAAATACGTAGTACGAAGCGATTTACACTAAAATGACCTGTCTATAGCACCCCCTCTCTATAGCACCCTATTTTGGTGAGTCCCGAAGAAGGGGCGCTATAGACAAGTTTAACTGTATATATTCCTTGTAAACTATATTATGTATTATTAAAAATATGTAATGTATACATAATATACACACCTCCCTTTACTATGTTTTATCGTTCACATTTTTAGCTCAGAAAGGGGAAAAACCCAAATTTAATGTATTTTCTTTTTAATAAGGAAAAGGTTGAAAACATTATATATATGTATCAAATTATTATTTTTTCAAGTTTTAAACGCGTCTAAAATAATTCAAATTTCTGATATTTTTTATTCTTTTTTTTTTAAGGAAAATTTTGTTCACACTTGGTTATCTCGTGTGTCTTCAATAAAGTTCACTGTAATATCTTTCAGAGTTATTGTCTTAATCCCGATATATATGCTAAAAGGTGAAACTTCCTTAAGTTTTGTTAACACTTGGTTATCTCGTGTGTCTTCAATAAAGGTCACTGTAATATCTTTCAGAGTTATTGTCTGAATTCCGATATACATGCTAAGAATGTTTCTTTTATAAAAATCGAAATTTATTTTCAAAGAGAAATAGCGACATTTCTAACTTTGAGGATGAGGTATGGAAAGGTGAAACATGAAGAGTAATGGCGAACGGAAAAATAAAAAGTGTCCAGGGGCGGGAACGCGGGAGCGCGGCCTCCAGGGGAGGCGCCCCTGGACACTTTTTATTTTTCCGTTCGCCATTACTCTTCATGTTTCACCTTTCCATACCTCATCCTCAAAGTTAGAAATGTCGCTATTTCTCTTTAAAAATAAATTTCGATTTTTATAAAAGAAACATTCGCGGTATAATTTCAATTTTCGTTTTACAATCATCAGCCGCGTTATATTGTATTTTAAATGATACATGCTAAGAGTTACAACTTCTTTAAGTTTTGTTCATGAGTATCTTTGGAGCTATATTCATAATTATATATTATTTATAATATGATGCACTAGTGCGCCATCTGTTATAAAAATTCGTAACTATTTTAAAAAACACGTGAGGTTCTTTTTAAAATTAAAAAATTTCTACTGCCCTTACTGCAATGTAAAATCAATAGGAGGGCCTGGCTCATCAATAAGGGCAGTAGAAAATATTTAATTTCAAACAGAAGCTTATGCGTCTAAAATAGCTTCGAATTTTCATAACAGATGGCGCGCTAGTGCAATATAATATAATAAATTTTAACACCGTTTTTTAAAGATAAACCAAATCTAAATATGTTTCAAGAAACTAGAAATAGCCGTTAAACTTTAGAACTTATTACTGGAAATTTTGTTCTAATGATACTCAAATTTACGAAGAAAACTACAAATTACTCTTTAGAGATATTTCTACTCCATGAAACTCCTTTTAAATATTTTTCTTTCACAAATTCTTAAATCTCATTGAGCACTCCGTTCTTTTTGATCGTTTAAAGTTTTCTGTTAAAAATGCATTCCTATAATACATATATATTTATAAATAATATCATATTATGATATATGTTTTTTATTATAAAATGATTTATATTCTCTATTAATGTGTTGCCCAATCACTTATCATATATATATATTTTTCATATGTTAAGCGTATTTACGCAAGTTTGGCTCAAATACCCATTTCTTGGTTTTTAAAGAAGCCTCTGGGACCAAAAAACATTTTTGGTCGCAGTGATACAGCCTACTCCACGCTGACGAGCGCCAAAAGCGCGAAACACATTCGTGGGTGGCTTTCTTGATTTATCAAGAAATTGCGTTGGCCAAATATCATGGAACAGGCTAAATCAATGTTTAGTTGATTTCTGTTCCGCCAGATGGCCTCTGTCTTCTGTAAAGCACATGTGCTCCTGGTCAGGATATGCCATTTTTATTTTTAATATATGCGATTTTACACAATCACGTGGCAAATTTTATATAATTAGAAATAATATCGTCAATTTTATGATATTGAAAATTAATATCTTGGCTACAAGCATTTGGTTTTTCTGATAATATTCTGATATATTCTATATCTTAATGAAGTTTGGTATATATTGAAGTGGTCACCAAAGTTGAGATAATAGCTAACTCATTTTTAGGTAAAATTAGACTCTTTATTTGAAAAGATAAATCAAATTATTTTAAAGGGGTAAGATTATTTTTGATATTAAACAATTTCTACTGCCCTTACTGCAATGGAAAAATAAATGAGAGGGCCTGGCTCATTTTGATTACAGATGGCGCGCTAGTGCATCATATTATAAATCAAATTATTCATCAAATATGTGTTTAAAATATACTAAGAATATAAATTATTTAAATTTAAACACATTACGATATAGTTATCAATATAAATATGTGCTTTTTCCTTATTTATAATACCTAATAATAAATAAGAAAAATATAAAATATCAAATACTATGATTATAATGCTCATATATTCGTCTATAATATCAATTTGATCTTCGAAAAAAAAAATTTTCAAAAATGTATTTATTAATCAACAAGGTATGATATTGAGGTAATATAACCGTGAAGCTATGATTGAAGAATGGATAATGGATATTAGTATGTTATAAGGACTTTTGATATTTATGATAAAGGAAATTCCAAAAATGCAATATAACAGCGGTATTGTATTGGGTATAAAAGTAATCTTCGTAATTTTAAATCCTTTCATTTTAGCGGTATGGTAGGTTCAATATGTTGTATACGGTTTCCAAACGAATTTCCATAATCGAAATAAATGTTGAAAGGAAATAGTAAATATATTACTTATAATACATTATAAAGGACTGCGACGTATGATTATAAAACAACACTTAAAGTTTCACCGCATAAGTTTCTTTTCTTTGAAAAATCAATATTTATTTCAAAGAGAAATATTTACTATTTCTAACTTTTTTGGATGAAGTATGAAAGGGTGAAAATATGAAGAGTAATGGCGAACGGAAAAATAAAAGTGTCCAGGGGCGGGAATCGAACCCACAACGTTCCGCTTACCGGGCAGATGCCATGTCCACTAAGCTACCCTGGACGTATTTTTCCGTTCGTAAATAATACTTAAAGTAACTTATAATACATTATAAAGGACTGCGGCGTATGATTATAAAACAACACTTAAAGTTTCACCGCAAGGGGCGGGAAGCCCAGTGGACATGGCATCTGTCCGGTAAGCGGAACGTTGTGGGTTCGATTCCCGCCCCTGGCCACTTTTATTTTTCCGTTCGCCATTACTCTTCATATTTTCACCCTTTCATACTTCATCCAAAAAAGTTAGAAATAGTAAATATTTCTCTTTGAAATAAATATTGATTTTTCACAGAAAAGAAACTTATGCGGTGAAACTTCAAGTGTTGTTTTATAATCATACGCCGCAGTCCTTTATAATGTATTATAAGTTACTTTAAGTATTATTTACGAACGGAAAAATACGTCCAGGGTAGCCTAGCGGACCAGGCATCTGCCCGGTAAGCGGAACGTTGTGGGTTCGATTCCCGCCTCTGGACACTTTTATTTTTCCGTTCGCCATTACTCTTCATATTTCACCCTTTCATACTTCATCCAAAAAAGTTAGAAATAGTAAATATTTCTCTTTGAAATAAATATTGATTTTCACAGAAAAGAAACTTATGCGGTGAAACTTTAAGTGTTGTTTTATAATCATACGCCGCAGTCCTTTATAATGTATTATAAGTTACTTTAAGTATTATTTACGAACGGAAAAATACGTCCAGGGTAGCCTAGTGGACATGGCATCTGCCCGGTAAGCCGAACTTTGTGGGTTCGATTCCCGCCCCTGGCCACTTTTATTTTTCCGTTCGCCATTACTCTTCATATTTTCACCCTTTCATACTTCATCCAAAAAAGTTAGAAATAGTAAATATTTCTCTTTGAAATAAATATTGATTTTTCACAGAAAAGAAACTTATGCGGCGAAACTTTAAGTGTTGTTTTATAATCATACGCCGCAGTTCTTTATAATGTATTTATTTATGCTTATGAGGTGATACAGCAGCGTGTTTACAATTAGAGAGGAGACAAAATGAATTAAATCTAGAAAAAAGAAGTGAGGACATATCGGTCATTAAAGTCTGAGAGGCAAGGCCTTCAGCCAGCTCAGGGCTTCCCGGGGTGACAGAATGGAGATTGGAGATTCCTCCATTGAATTTGTACAGCGGGCAGTCATCTAGTATATGGGACATTGATTGTGGGACGTTGCAGGCACACTTTGGATCTTCGGTGTAGCCCCATAACTTCATCAGCTCTGCACACCTTCCCTGACCTGTCCTAAAGCGGTTTAGAAGCACCCATTCTCGTCGAGGGAGGGAAAAACCTGGGATCTTGACACTTGGGCTTGTGATGAGGTTCTTGTTTGGGATATCGGAGCTGATCCAGGAATTTGTCCATGCTTCTGAGATATTAAAATTTTGGGAGAGAAGTTGGTTTCCTCGGGACCATATCGGCTTCCTTGATTTTAGTCTATGTTTTGGGGGAGACTGTAGGATAGGGTTAATTTCGAGGTCGGGTGAATCCAAGAGTTTTTGGTACATTTTCTTGGTGGCTTCCTTTCTGCGTAGCTTAGGTGGAGAGATGTGAGCAAGAACTGGAAGCCAGTCGATTCTTGTAGGTTGGCAAACCCCTGTTATAATTCGTAAGGTAGAATTTAGTTGTGAGTCTATTAGCTTCGTGTGGCAGCTCCCCTCCCAGACTGGAGCACAATACTCAGCCGTGGAGAAGATCAATGCCAAGGCAGAAGTACGCAGGGTGTTGGCATCACTGCCCCAGGAAGAGCCGGCCATCTTATGGAGGATATTGTTACGTGATGATAGTTCCCCCTTTAACTTGGTGAGATGGGTTTTGAAGGTGAGAGTGCGGTCAAGATGAATGCCTAGGTATTTGGGATGTTCGCTATGAGTTATCTGAGAGTTATTGATAAATAGGTTGAGTTTTCTTTCAGCTCTGTGATGGTTAAGATGGAAACAGCAATGTACAGATTTTGCAGGATTAAGCCTCAGAGACCAATTTTCAAAGTAATTATGTAGAGTTTCAAGATCTTTATTCAGTTGAATTTCCAGTTCCTCGAAAGTCTTTGCTTGGGCTAGAATGGCTGTATCATCTGCGTAAATAATTTTTTTTGAAGTTGTTTGGGAAATATCATGGGTGTACCAGTTATAAAGAAGTGGAGACAAGACTGATCCCTGTGGGAGGCCATTATATATAGTATATTCCTTGCTAGATTTAGAGTTAAGGTATACTGTGAATTTCCTGGGTGAGAGAAGAGAAGACAAAAGATTGAGGGTTTGTTTGCATTTTAGCACTTTAGCAAGTTTATAAATCAAGCCATCAAGTCCGACTTCCAAGTCGTTCCGCCAAGAGATCAACACCACAGAGGTCCGTACGTCTCTTGACCTCACGGACAATACAGCAGCTACATTATGCACTTTATAATGTATTATAAGTTACTTTAAGTATTATTTACGAACGGAAAAATACGTCCAGGGTAGCCTAGTGGACATGGCATCTGCCCGTTAAGCGGAACGTTGTGGGTTCGATTCCCGCCCCTGGCCACTTTTATTTTTCCGTTCGCCATTACTCTTCATATTTTCACCCTTTCATACTTCATCCAAAAAAGTTAGAAAAAGTAAATATTTATCTTTGAAATAAATATTGATTTTTCACAGAAAAGAAACTTTTGCGGTGAAACTTTAAGTGTTGTTTTATAATCATACGCCGCAGTCCTTTATAATGTATTATTAGTTACTTTAAGTATTATTTACGAACGGAAAAATACGTCCAGGGTAGCCTAGTGGACATGACATCTGCCCGGTAAGCGGAACGTTGTGGGTTCGATTCCCGCCCCTGGACACTTTTATTTTTCCGTTCGCCATTACTCTTCATATTTCACCCTTTCATACTTCATCCAAAAAAGTTAGAAATAGTAAATATTTCTCTTTGAAATAAATATTGATTTTTCACAGAAAAGAAACTTATGCGGTGAAACTTTAAGTGTTGTTTTATATTACTTATAGTTTGTGTTTAAAATATTCAAGATATATTTATAATTCATGTAATTCTACTGTCCTCAAAGCTTATGTCCATATTTCACTTTAAATTACCCATTCTAAGAGTCTAGCACAAGTATCACTATAAAAGGAATATTGAAAAATGCAATATAACAGCCTTATGGTAGATTAAACTGACGAAACCGCTGGGAGGTTTCACCACTGATGACCCAGGCCCTCCTTTTAATTTTCACATTGCAATAAGGGCAGTAGAAATTGTTTAATTTAAAAAATAACCATACGCGCTAATAATAGGTCCGAAAATTCATAATATTAGTTTGTCTTAAGAAAATGGCATCTCCTTATCGTGCAACTGAAAGTTGCTGATGGCTTGCGGCTTATATAGGAATAAATAATTTTCGGAATATTTATTCCGATATATGGCGCAAGCAATCAGCAACTTTCAGTTGCACGATAAGGAGATGCCTTTTTCTTAATTCATACACCTTATCCCAGTACAATATCACATCTGTATCACATGTATCTAAGATATAAGCCCTCTATGCAAATATTGCTTCAATATATATACAAACATAAAGATATATACGGATAAAAGATTACATGAGGAGCTTCTTTTTAGATTTATTGCGAGCTTTCGAACCTTTCGGTTCTTCTACAGGCATGGATAGCATGAATATACTAAGTTAGTATTGTTAGTATATTCATGCTATCCATGCCTGTAGAATAACTGAAAGGTTCAAAAGCTCGCAATAAATCTAAAAAGAAGCTCCTCATGTAATAATTTATCCGTATATATTTAAACTAAATTCTACTGAGTCCATATAGCTGAAAAAACATAAAGATGTTTTTTTTTCTTTCACTAGCTCAAGAATAAATTTAATAATTGTTATACGTGATCCGAAAATATACAATTATACAATTTGCACTTTTTTTCCAAACGTAATTCCTTCACAGTACCATCTAAATTTTGTAGTCACTTAATTTGTCAAATCACACAGAAAATTCCAGAAATACTTATATAAAAGAGGTCTATCAGAAACACCAAATTCTTCCTGCAGAGAAACTGAACAAACTGCTCTTCACCTTATCTATGACTGTCCGAACTTTACAGAAGTGAGACATCGATTGTTTCCTGATCTAAATAACTTAACTCTCTTACATCAGCCACTTTGTCTATATAAATTTTATGTGAACACTGTCATGTAAATATTTAATTCTAAGTTTTAATTTGTTTGTTGTTTTGTTTGTTTCTTCTGTAATAGGCGCAAATATTTCAATATCGCGCCTGGTTGATTAATAAATAAATAAATAATATATATATGCAGTTAAAAAAAAACCTGTCTATAGCGCCCCCTCTAAATAGCGCCTCCCTCTCTATAGCGACCGATTGTAAATACGTAGTACGATGCGATTTACATTAAAATTGACCTGTCTATAGCACCCACTCTATTGAGCACCCTATATATATATAAATATACCATTTATTAACACAAACCTTTTAATAATAATATTTTTTAAAAATTAATTCTCGGGTCGAGAGCAATAAAAACAGGTAGGAACTAATATTTCTTTTTATATAGTTGACAAGTATGGTAATTACGTAAAAGTATTTGGAGGAAATCCATAAAGTTTTGTTGCGTAGGCTGAATAGAATCTTCTAAAGGTTTTATGAGCCATTTCATTGCCCAATGTTCTACAGTAGTCCAGGAGTTAGTGGTCTCCTGAGGTGGGTTAATGTGTTTCACTTGTGTGCTTCAACTCATAATACTGATGTGCTAGCAATAAACTGACTACAATGTTAACAAAGACCCTGCAGTTATAACAATAAAAGCATTACATAGATTTATATATAGCACAAACATAATATAAATAGGAAATTTCTCGGCAATATATTAATCTATATATAGCAAATAACGCGCCATCTACATAATACAAATGAAAACACCAAAACGCGAATGTTTATTTTCACAAATAAATCAAATCTGCGTAAGAGCATTGCTCGATGCAAATATCATATAGAATTCTACTGTCTTAAAAGCTTATGTCCATAGTTTGCTTTAGTACCATTTCTGAGATTCCATTCTTCATTGTAGCATATAAATGCAGAATGATCCAAAACAGTAGAAGAGCTTTAAAGAAGCGGTCTGGTAGATTAAAAAAAATTGTCGAATCCGCTGGGAGTGTTCACTACTGATAAGCCAAGCCCTCCCAATATTTTTTCATTGCAATAAGGACAGTAGATGTCTGATTCATTTGTGAAAAGAAACATTCGCGTTTTGGTGTTTTCATTTATATTAATATATAAAATTAAAAGTCGCTTTTCCAGACCAAATAGATGCAAAGAAGGTCCTTTAGTTCGAAACTATGGTAATATTTATATTACCCAATTTCAGCCATAGATTTAGCTTTCCCACTTTGCGAGCTAGACTCTTTTTTGGCGAATTGTGAAGATTCCTTTGAATCTATTCGTTATTATAAAAGTAAACTTGTTTATCATCTCTAGTAAAGTTTTTACTAGGGGGAGATGCATTTTGCGATCTTTGTAATGTACAATTAAAAGGAAAGGTGCTTTCTGGTTAAAACGCTTTTTAACAGGAGAATTAGAAGTATGACTTCTAGCTAACTGTACACGCCGAAAAATGGCACTAAATAATTTTAAATGGTAATATGAATTTATGAATAATTCTACATAACTTCTAAAACGTGATAATATCACCAATCATCCATAATGTATCTTTTTGGAAGGAATACGAAAATAAAAACTACTAATCTTATTCAATATGATTTTATTAATGGATATATGATTTGATGTTTGTGAAAGAGCGATTGCTCGAAGTATATCATATATTTATAATTGCATATAATTCTGTTGTCCTCAAATCTTATGTCCATAGTTCATCTAAAACTTCCCATTCCAAGAGTCTAGCATCAGTATCACTATTAAAAGAATATCGAAAAATGAAATATAAAAGCAGTATGGTGTAGATTTAACTGGCGAAACCGTTGGGAGGGTTTACCACTGATAAGCCAGGCACTCACATTAATTTTTCCATTGCTGTAAGGGCAGTAGAAATTGTTTAATATTTAAAGGAAATATATGAGTCTATAATAGTTTAGAATTTTCATATCAGATGGCAAGTTAATGCATCATAAAATAAATAAATGTATTCAAAAAACACAAATAAAATAATTATACATATATCCCATATAAATAACGCATTGTTAAATTAAATAATACTATAATTTAGTATACAATATAATAACAATTACACCTTTCTACATAGAAAGATAATGTGTGCAAATACATTTAAAACTATTATTATCTAAAAATATAAAATTTAGGTTCAAATTTAACCAAATTGTAATATACTTTGCATTTTTTGATGAATTTGATGAACTATTATTTTATCCTTTATTAAGTATTACACATTATAAGGGATCATCGGAATATAAGACTAATTTATATATTAAAATCCAACTGTTTGTAGTTAATATTTCAGTTGGCTGAATGCCAACCTTTATCAAGGTGTTATAACATATTTAATGTTTTACGCATATAAATTTAACGGTAATGCGCTTCTTTTAAATATCATCAAATCTTATCTCTACGGATCTTACTGCAATGATATGAGTTATAGAATGAGAGGGCTTGGCTCATCAGTAGTGAACCCTCTCAGCGGTTTCGACAAATTAATCTCTAGACCGCTCTACTATTGTATTGGATTGGTTTGGAATATACCCTGTATTTTCTATGGAAGGCAGCTTAGGGGTGTTTAATGAACTATGGACATAAGCTTTTAGGTCTGTAGAGGAACATACATATAATTTCAAGGTATTGCATCGAGCAAAGCTCTTCCGCAAAATATGTTTTCATAACAATTTAATTTACTAATATTTAATGTGTGTTAATTTTGATTCAATATATGTATTTTTAATTAAATACTAATAACTGTTTAATAAAAGATAAAAGTATTAAAAACATTACCAGAAAAGTATATATAATACTTCAAACATTTTTTATCTATTTAAAAGGTTTTAAAAGTATCTTTGTGTAAAGACTAAAAGTAGATTAAGCTAAAAGCTGCTCTCCTGACTCAGTTGGTGATCACAGAGAAAAAGTAATTTATTTTCTTCTACCAAAATATAGAGAGTTCTATTCTCTCGAACAATGTAATAAAATCCTTGTTTAATGGTTCAAAATATTACTACAGCCGTTCTGTGAAGCTAATAAAAACATGGCTTTTATTTTTTATCACTTTTCATATTCATCTCTATTTTTAAGGCAACGAATTCCAGGACTCGAGACACCTACTGCTGGAATGCCCACTCTTCTTCACCGCTAGACAACAGACAGTGAACAATGTTGTAGATCTATATCAACTTTAACTATTTTTGTAAATATATTTATGATTATCTTTCTAACCTGAAAGGTTGAGGTTCCTAATATATATTATTGTTTCAATTTTTTTTTAATTACTTTTTCTTGTATAATATGTTTATAACTGTTTCTGTTTTTAAAAAATGTAAATCGACGCAATTTTCCTAGCTGGGATATCGCGTTTTGTGTGTTGAAATAAATTAATATTCATCTCTATATACTTTCAAAGATAATATTTTTATGTTTGAGAATGAATTCTGAATAGTCTCTATCAGTGTTATTTGAAATATATAATATATAATTATTTTTTAATAAGCAAGTGAAATGCATTTGGTAAAGAAAGATGTTGCCTGGCCGACATTCATTTTTCTTGAAAATAAAGATATTTCGGTCAGTAAATCTTTTTATTGTCTCTACGTTTCGACAAAAAATTCGTTTGTCCTCGTCAGGAGCAAACAAAAATTAAAACATTTAGCAAGGCGAAAAAATAGTACAAATGTGATATTGTACTGGGATAAGGTGCATAAATTTAGAAAAAGGCATCTCCTTATCGTGCAACTGAAAGTTGCTGATGGCTTGCGCCATCTATCGGAATAAATATCAACGAGAATAGTTGATATTTATTCCGATAGATGGCGCAAGACATCAGCAACTTTCAGTTGCACGATATGGAGATGCCTTTTTCTAAATTTAGCAAGGCGTTAAAAATCATTCTTATAAAAAGATTTACTGGCCGAAGTATCTTTATTTTCTAGAAATATGAAATGCATTTGATAAATATGTATTACCAAAAGTAAAATGCTATGCAAAACCATTTGAAAAGTCAACCTAATAACTTGTACTACTTGTGTATGTAAACGCATAGCAGTGTTAATCGCATTAAGTACAGTAGAAGTTTGTTTTATGTGTAAATAACATTGAGCTTTAATGAATTAAATTCCTAAGTATAGATTGCGCGTTATTGCCTTATAATACCATGATATTTATATTAAAAATAAAGAAGGCATATCCTGACCAGGAGCACATGTGATTTTATATATATATATTATATATAAAAATATTATTTTATTTAAAATTATATTTAATAGATACAAATATTCTGTTAAATCGACCGCCAGAGGTCAAGCTTCCCCTATAAAAACTCATTGTTGTTTTATCCCCATGGCCGGCTCAAACCTTTTGTACATTATGTAAATAATATTTTTCCCCCTTGTTCTTCCCGCCTTTATACAGACAGTACTTTTATCAAATTATGTTTTTTTTTTATATAGTCCCTGAGCACAATTAAAGCTATTTCTTCTTCAATATTTTTATGATACTTTCAAGATTTCAACCACGACTGCATTACCATAGCATAATCCGCAAGATATTAAAAATAATCAACAGAAATATCTTTTTTCATAACATATATATACGTACTAGTGAATGACCCGGGCAACGCCCGGGTTTTACCCGATTAAATGTTTTTATTCGAATACTATTTGTTACAATTATAAATTGGAGCCGTGGTTGTCACTCTTGAGAAACGTCCCGCTCCAAACTTTACATGTACATTAGGTCAGCTGGTATTACCCCCCATTTTCACCGCTAGAGGCGCGAGCGAAAGAGCAAATTTGCAAATAACACGACGGATATTCGGGATAGAGACCTGAAATTTTCACTAAGAGTTGTTCCAGATTCTACTTTATATACTGTTAAAATTTAAGTCGGATTAGTTACGTATTGTGGATGTTTATAGTTGACAAGCATACATACATACGCTGACTTTTATATATATAGGGATAATAATATAGATGAGTTTTAAAAATTGTAAAAAAAATGCTTCGGCCGGGAATCGAACCCGGGCCGTCCGCGTGGTAGGCGAGCATTCTACCACTGAACCACAGATGCTTATAAGAAATGGCCATATTTGGGTATTTATTCAATTCACAAAAGCAAACGATGACAGAATTGATTGTTGATGACTCTGATACCTGTTATATCTAATAACGATAATATTTATAAACAATATATTTACATATCCATACCTAACATCATTTCTCATAGATAGAAGGAGAGTAATTGCTTTATACCACAATGATATATATATAATGAGAATATTAATAAAACTATGCAAATATTTCAATCTATTCACATATTCATACATAATAATAAAGACATTTCGAATAATAATATATAATTTTAATAATGAATATTATTCTAAATCTATATATAATACACACAACCTTTGCATTTCGCGTTTTTCTGATAAAAAAAAAGAACCTTCTGTGTAAAAATAAATGAAATTTTGCTAAAATGTGCTAATTGCAGTCTTTAGATGCCTCACGAAATATTTAGAATCATTAATATCCGGTAATGTTTAAACCAGGAAATAATTAATAATCGACATTATGAATATTAATTAAAGATAATTATAATAATTACAGGGGTTTGCGTTTATTTATATATATATACTGGTAATTAATAATGTAATTACATACTATAATGAAAAGTAAATTAAAAAATGTAAGTTATTATGGTTTTAGAGTATGGTATAGTTCATAAACTAATTTCTTATTGTTGAATATTAATAATTTATGTATAAATATTAGCTATAATAAGAATTTCTATTAAGATGAATAATAAGGATTGTTATAAAGTGTGTAAGCGATTATATATAAATATATATATATATTGAAAATAGAGCAATCCATATTTAATTCATTAGATAATAAAAAGGCATATATTGGATTTAATGAAAGATTTATTTTGTCAATATTTCGGTTGGCTGAACGCCAAACCTTTATCAAGGCATTACATGTGTACAGTGCATGCATTACAGTGAAAACAAAATTTTAATGCCTTGATAAAGGTTTGGCGTTCAGCTAACCGAAATAATGGAAAAATAAATCTTTTATTAAATCCAATATATGCCTTTTTATTATCTAATATATATATATCGAGGTATGCCATTTATGTAAATATGCAATTTACCCTAATCTAATAAATTTTAAAATTCATAAGAATTTTTGAATTTTGTATAATTTATAGAAACATTTTCTGGCAGACATATTCAATATTTTATCATCATCAATTGTTATTATTGTTTTTTACCTTAGTTAGTTTTCAAATCATTTGCAAATGTAGTTTCTTTTTGTTGTTGTTGTTGTTGTGCTCCTTTTTAAGCAATAGAATATACATAGAACTAAGGTGTAATATTCAATTCAAGCATATGGAACCAACATCGATTCATTTTTAAAACAAAGAAAAATCATAAGCTTATACAACTTTGACTTTTTCATACAGATGGTTTGCTAGGCCTCTATTAGTAGATTAAATATTATAATCTCATTTGTTGATATGTGTTAGTTAGATTGAAAATGTGAAGAGATATAGTGATTTATATATCTTCAGAAATGTGTGTAGGTCTATACGCTAGGTTAAGGGCCATCAAACTGGAATGCGTTTATTGTCTGATTTCGTGATTTATTAAGAATATTTATTTGGTCAATATTCTGAAATAAATAAAGATTAAATCAGCAACCTCCATTCGACAATGATCAGAGATTTTTCTTGATTCATAGATTTGGTGAAAAAATAATATAAATAGAAAAGGTCGGGTGTTGATATTAAAACAAATTAGGCATATACTGACCACTAGCATGAGCGCTTTCAGAAGGCAGAGCGCCATCTAGTGGAACAGAAATAAACTAAACATTGATTTAACCTGTTCCCTGATATCTGGCCAATCCATTTTCTGGATAAATCAATAAAAGCCATCAACGAACGCGTTTCGGGCTTTTGGCCCTCGTACCGCTGTACCTCTGCGACCAAACATATTTTTGGTTCCAGAGGCGTCATTAAAAATCAAGAAATGGGTATTTAAGACCAAATTTGCGTGAATACGCAAAACACAAAAAATAATAATAATAAACAATAAAAAAGATAGATTTATATATAAATATTACATATTTTTATTTTATTCTTTCAATAAATAAAATATAATTTTGTTAGTTTTTACCCAGTTGATATATATATATATTAATAAAAGAGTTTATGATAGGACCAATGAAATATTTATAATTTAAGCTAAATATCTAATAACTGGTATTTTAATAGATTGTTATTCAATTGCATGTGATTTTTACCTGTAAAGTCGATACTAAAAATATATATTTATAAATTCTCAGAGTTAATAATAAAACGTTTATGTAAATGTATTTGCTATATGAGCTAAACATTGTTATAATTTATAAAATTTACAATATATATTTAGAGAGATAAAATTAACACTGAGTTTCCTTTTTTCAAAACAAACCATTTATTCTAAATGAAATTTATTGTTGTTTATTTTCTATTGTCATTGAACTGACAAACCATGTTGATTATTTCCGAATAGTTAGATGAATGAAAGTTTTCTAAATTGTAATTTTCTTTTATATTAGATTATATTAAATATATAAACTGCATATATCTTTCTATGCATATTATGTATTTTCATATGAATTACTCTACAGTGCCACACACACACACACACACACACAAATATATACACTAATAGAAAAAACTTATGGAAGATGTACCTATAAGCATGTATATCGGGATTCAGACAATAACTCTGAAAGATATAAAGGTGACCTTTATTGGAGACACACGAGATAACCAAGTGTGAACAAAACTTAAGCAAGTTGTACCTTTTAGCATGTATATCGGGATTCAGACAATAACTCTGAAATATATTATAGTGACCTTTATTGGAGACCCACGAGATAATCAAGTGTGAACAAAACTCAAGGAAGTTGTACCTTTTAGCATGTATATCGGGATTGAGACAGTAACCCTGAAATATATTACAGCGACCTTTATTGAAGTCATACGAGATAACCAAGTGTGAACAAAAGGAAGTTGTACCTTTCAGCATTTATATCGGGATTCAGACAATAACTCTGAAAGATATTACAGTGACCTTTATTGAAGACACACGAGATAACCAAGTGTGAACAAAAATTGTTTCTATTTCAAATTTATATATTTGATTTTAAGAATTACATTTATCTAAATCGTAAAATGAAGGTATATATATAAGCAAATATGAGGCAAATATAAGCAAGAATATTTTTTAAAAACCTATTTCTTTTGACGTTATGTGGCGCTGAGTTTGTGGTTGACACATATTAAAATGTTATAATACCTTGAAAAAGGTTGGCGTTCAGCCCACTGAAAAAAATAAATGATATTTTAATCCAATATATGCCTTTTTAATTGAATATATATATATATATATATATATATATATATTAAAAATAAGGCCTATTTTGGATTTTAATACGATTATTTATTAATCCGATATTTCGATGGATCAATCTTCCATCTTTTACGAGGTGTTTTGCCGTGAAGCACGCAGCAGGTCGCGTGCCCCAGGTGAGTCACTAGACGTCTTCCAAAATGTATTATGGATTGCTCTATATTCAGAATATATATATAAATATATATATATATGAATATGTGGCATTATCACACCATCTGTTATAAGAAATTCGAACTTATATAGATACAAATTCATCATTGCAGTAAAGGCAGTAGAAATTGCTTTATTTTACAAAGAATCATACGCGTTGAAAATTAATTTAAAATTTTTATCTAGATTATATATAAACAATTACAATATTTTATAATATGAAAATTATAAGTCACATATAATAAAAAAAACAAAATAAAAAAACCTATTCCTTTATAAAAAATATTAAGAAGCTTCTTGGAATTTATAAAATAATTCTTTAAAAAAAAATAACATCCAAAAAATAATATCAAACAAAAAAAATAAAACGAAAAATAAACTAATTTTTCATTGCATTAACTCCCCGCCAAAATAAAACGAAACAGACGATCTATAAAACTTTAAATCCAACAGCTAATTTCTACCTTCATTCTAAATCCTTTTTATTTCTCTTTGGTTTTCTATTTGTCTGATTAAATCACCTCGCATTTTAGCTAGGCAGCCAATTACCAGCCCGCCAAATGGCACCAACACAACTCTGTGAGAGCGTCTGAATAATTAAACAAGTTTGGTCCTCCAGGCGGCGCTAGGGGCGCCCGGAAATCGTATGTTCGGCTGGGATAGGATGCAGGTGGCCGGGTTGGTGGCAGCCTCCTTGATCTTCCGACTTCTTTTACCAGGTAAGTTCGAATCTTTTCCTTTTTTTTTCTTTCCATTTCTTTTTAAAACTTTCTTTTATTTATTATCTTGACTATATATTCGTATAGTATAAGAATATAATTTATTAATATAAATTATATTAGTTTGTTCGATTAAATTTGCATAATATGAATTTTTAACAGTTACAAATTTAATTCAGACGAATTGCGATTTCGAATTTGTATACATATTGAATGATAATTTATTATTAAATATACATTTCGTTTGCTATTTTATGAATACTTTTATTTGATTGAGAGAGAGAGAGAGAGAGAATACATAAATATTTGTATCTTTTTATAAATCCATCGTAAATTCTGTTTAATATATGTTTGTTAAAGGTTGTATTTTTATATATTAAGTTTTAAATGAATACATTTTATGAAGTTTTTGAGAAATATATTAATTATGGGTTTTAAATTCATTAGTTTATAGATATAAATACAACTACATTGAGTCTATTCTATTTTATAACAATAATAACAAGGTGCAATGTTTTTAAATGGCGATTGTAAACAATAGGTTAATCGTAAGTTTTATATCAATACATTATAATTTCATATATAATTAAAGTGAAACATTGCTATAATATAAAAAATTATAATTCTTTTTAATCCTATAAATAACACATTTCATAATGGTATTGTCTATTTTATCCATCAACAATAGACTTGAGATTTTAGGTCACACAATTAATAGTTACATTTTCATATGT